ACCTGAAGCCTTTCTCTGTTACCATTCTCACCTTGTGCCAGGGAAATCTCTTTTATTTTTCCACTGGTCTCAGTTTGAGCTGTTAATTCAGTTGGTTTTGAACTGAGTTCTGTTAAGCCAAAGTACAACATAACCAAAGTTGTTTGCAGCAGTGTGTAGGCTCTACATTGTAGCAGTTGAAATGGATTAAATACACGTAACATATTTAAAATACATGTATACATAGACATAGATAACTTTGTTTTAATTTATTCTTTTTTTTACTGGGTAATTCTGGAATTCTCTGCACCATTTATTTCAATGCCCAGCCCACTAAGGATGAAGCGCTGCTGTAGAGTGCAAAAGCAACGTCACACTCTCACAGCTCTGAAGAGGCAGGAAGATCATGAATATTGTAAATGCAAAGTGTAAGGGCATTAAATGGATACTGGGTTTAGCTGAAACTGAAGAGATAGGGACTTGGATGACTAACCTTAGCAGTTGTGTAAGTGCCCGTAACTTCAGGAAAGTCAGAGGGTCTCCATTCCTTTATTCTTCGAATAAACATTGTCCTGACTCAGTATTTGGAAGACTACTTGATGAAATTCTTCATTCTCCAATACACTATTGAATTTCATTACATTTTGTAACAAAAAAGGAATGAAAATAAGGATTTATTTCAGAATAAGTGAGCAGAAACATGGGTGCAAATTCACAATGCACATTGAAAACCCCTCTGCACAGACAGGTACAGACAATGGCACGTTTGCTCAAAACTTGTTCTAAGCTGATTCTGAGCAAGCAGGCAGAGCAAGCACATTTATTAACACTTACCTTTATTGTTTGGATGGGTGTTTGTAATCTGTCCTGGAACTCTCATGTACAGTGTAGCATACAACTCATTGGAGGTGAATAAACTCATATTTAGTGTGTGGCAAGAGTGACCCACCCAGTCAAATAGTTACTCATTGGTAATTTACTGTACTACATGCTGGCTCTATGCCCACCACATTCCCACTGCACGCAAGCTCTAAGTATTGTGTAGTTGTGTAGACATCAGCATTTTTATATCACATCACAAGAAAGCTATCGATATAATTTGATCTTTGGAGAGAGAGAGAACATAAATGCTCAAGTACTGTTCATATAATCTGATTATCTTTTTCCTGTTTCACGGAACTGTGGTGTTTTTCTTATCCAGTTTGATCTATCTTCCAAGGTCCATGTGGTGTTACACCACCAGTGGTATTGTCCCCCAATAAGTTTTATGTAAACAGAAGAGTTTATGGTTTGAGTTCATTTGCCTTCACAGGATTGTGCATGTGTCTCTGGAACACTGAGAGCCTAGTGCAAGACAGAGGCCTTCAGTGCTCAGCTAACCTGAGGGCAGTCTCACTGGTCACCCAGTTTCCAAAAGCACGGCTGGGGCTGGACACTGGTTATCTTCCAGTATACACAGAGCCACATGGAGACGGCAAGAATCTTAACTAGGGACTTGCTCAGCTAGTTGTGCTAAGCAGCTGTAAAGATTCTCACAGCCTGTCAGTGGAGCAAGTGTAAAACTCCCTGGGTGACTGTTTGAAAGTAATTGGTCGCTCAGAGCTATTGTCATTTGCTTCTAAGGGCTTGTTTATTATAAGAATGCTTAAATTAATGTGCCATCCTCTGGTCGCTGCGTTAATGCCTGGACTTAGGATTTCTTACTGGCTGTGTCATCCATTCACTATATCATAAGCTCTGATAGGTCACTTTTTCTCAGTGTTTCGGCTTTCTCATGTGTGAAATAGGCTTGATGATATGTTCCTATAAATGGGATTTTCGAATCTGTGTATGACTGAAATTACTAAGGTTTTTGCCTCTACTAATGGCATAGAGTTTACACTGTTGTAGCTTAACTGGTATCTGCTTAGCTTTACCATAGCAATAAGAATGGAGGCTTCTACGTATGTGCAACCGCTTTGTTGTTTTCCATGCTAATGCTGTTTTTCTTTATATAGATAGGGCCTAAGCATCTGGGTCCAGCTGATAAAGCTTCCTTTTCAGTTGTCTGCTCCTGCACAATTGGTCATTGAGTTCAGCAATCTTGGGATTAGGCTGAAGGAGTTTTAATTAAAAAAACTAAGTGTCAAATATGGTTGTGGCACAGTCAGAATTGTTTTACAGACACTTTTAAATCAAAAGTGCAAAGGAAACACTGGGAGCGAAACAAGTTTCTCTGTTCCTTCCCTGAATCTTATGTATTTGTAATTGATACAGAAACCCCCAGTTTTGTACTTTTCTCCCACACCCCTGTGTTTTGAATGCTAATCACAGGACATGGAGAATGTTCACAGAGGGAAGGTATACGGCTCTCTTCTATTTCAAGTATGGAGACATCCTTTTAATTGCCTGCAGACAGCAGATGGTATGGCATTTGTGGCGTCATGAACTCCAGCACAATATAGTCAGCCACTGCACAGCATGGTACAATTTAAAGCTGAGTAAATATAGGGAGAATGAAGGGTTAGGGGTGGAAAAGCAGTAATTCCTGGGACATTTGTTCCATTTTTATTTTACAAATTGACCATGATTTTGTTTGCTTCACTCTTGTTCATTTTCTGCATCTGTTCTAGAAAGCTGCTTTCCTGCCAGGAACATACACCCAAACAAATAGTTTTAAAAGGATTGTTGTCAACTTTTAAAACCACATCTCCCTTTGCAAGTTTTATGTTTTCTTTCATAAGAAGATGTAAGATTTTGAAGTTACTTTCTCTCAGACTTCACAAGAGGAAGTAGCTAAAAAAACCCTCAGAAATAATATAAATTCAGAGCTAATAAACACGAGGTAAGATCTTTTCCAGTCCACAGGTACAATCTCTCACAACGCTCACCTGGAATTTTCTGAAGCTTTTTCTGGTCAGAAAATTCTCTTCCACTAGAAGTCCCCTTCTCACCTGATTCAGGCTTCGCCCATCAGTCAGGATGTTATTCTGGAATCCCTCTCATTTTTCCCTTGCAAGGAATAGTTTTGAAACTGCAAAAAATTTTCTAAGACAGGAAATGTTTTCCTATTCAAACCTCATATGTCCTGCATATTCTGTAATTGGTTTAAAGGCTGTGTAACTTACAGACAGCAGAGGCTTTGCATAAAAGAAAGCAGCTTAGTAAGTAAAATAAAAAAGTAACACAAATTAGAGAGGATTGTTTTCTTTGAGTTGCAACATGCCCTGACAAGTAATATGCCATTAAATATATGTGTAGATATCGCAAATATATTTAATTTTAATAAAACCTTAACCCCCACGAAATACTAATTTAAGGAGTTATTGTGCACACTGGTATGCTGTGACAAAACAGTTGGGTACAGGCTGTCTTATTTCTAGCTCCTTTTGAAATCAATGCTGGTATGACATAAACTACATCCAGTCCCAAATCTGTGAGGCTACATCAAGACACAGCCAGTACGTGAGCATACGAGAGAGGACCCATAGGAGGCAGGATGCACTAAGAGGCACCATTGTGTCTCAACACAGTCGAACAGCTTGCAAACTACACTCCACTCTCCAACATGCAGGACTTAGAGCACAGGCTGAGGGAGTGTACAGCCAACTGTGTGAACTCAAAGACAATGTTATTGGTAATGAAACTGTTAGATGTAGCAATGCTTCTAATTTGTATAGTTTTACAGTAATGATGTACCACAATTTATGATATTTAACGTTTTACTGACATTTCATCCCATTACTGCCTCATTCTCTGACAGAGTGCAGTATGCATAAGTCTATTAATTAGAAATACAGGAATGGTTACATAGAATACATTAATTTGAAAGTATACCAAGGAGAGCCATGGTTAAGTTTAGTGGACCTTTGTTTTCCATGTTTTTAATCACCCAGCTTATGTTCCTGTTCTTCTTCTGATCAGGTTCTTGACTCTAAAGAGACATGTTCTTGCATTAGCACGTGGGATTAAATTAATTGCATTTAAGAAATGGAACTCACTTTGCATATAGCAAAACTTGTTGAACGCTGTTATATATTTCTCCAGACTTTTATGAAACCAGGGAAAAGTAGATTTTTTTTCAGTTCCTTCCCAAATTTATTACTTAAATAAAATAAAATTCCAGTCTATGACACTATTTTCACATAAATCCTAGGAATGTTTTTCTTCAGATTAAAAATTGTTGGTCTGTATCCTCAGCCAGTGGAGCTATGCCAATACACAGCAGCTGGGAATTTCCTACCCTGCTATCTGTGTGTGGCAATGGATTCATTAGGCATAGGCCATCTCCTGTATGCGTTCTAAATTACCCCTGACTTTTAACAGATGGTTATCTTACATAAATCAGAGCTCTGCCTTTCCGAAAGAAGTATATTTTTCGTACTTTGTGCAAACATTTGCTAAGCAATACAAAGCATTATTTGTCTCTTGATATTAAATAAGGCATGGGAACATGGTGCCATGGACTAATCTAATGTACTTTACATCCAAGTAGTGTAAAATATTTCATAATTCTTTTTTCTGTGTGGAGATAAGGTAAAACATGTGCAGGTGCACTAATTTACCCAGAATCTTGTCATTGCCCATATCCTACCAGAATTACGTAGGAATCTGTGCAGCTTGTTTCTTATTTTCATATTTTAACTAATATAGGGTATGCTTCCAAATAGAGCAAGGCTGTGATCTCAGGACACTGCTTTGAAGCTGTTTTCTCCCTGTTTCATTATAACATATTTTACCATTATTCCACCCTGACTGCAAAATCAGTGGAATCTTCAAAGTAAAAAATATATCACTTTGTTTAAATATGCACTAAAACCAAAACCGAGCTTTTGTCCTTGATTTCTGCAGATCTCCAGATTATTGTCAAGGACGTATAATTGAATTATAACCTTGATTTTCATACACGTCAATGGCATCCATGCTAGTGACTCACACAGATCATAAAAGTATATTTCCAAGGGGTGTGGGTATAGGTGGCCTGAACAGCTTGGGCTGGTTTATAAAAACAAGGGCCTCAAGCCATCTGCACTTATCCATTCTTCTTTGTTCCAGCTGCTGTTCTGCTCTACCAGCCACATCACCAGGGTAACATGGCATTCACAGGCAAATACGAATTCGAAGGCGATGAGAACTATGATGACTTTGTCAAGAAGATTGGTAAGCATGTCTTGGGGTGCAAGTCTTAAAGGTTATAACTCAGTTATAAATACTTTTTTTTTAAAAAAAAGGGGGTTTTTTACTGAAATGTGCTGAGATCAGCTGGGGCTAAGACTGGGGGGAATGCTTTGCACTTCAGCAAGGAGATTCAGTTTTCATTCTTATAAGAAGCACTGTCAGCTGCAGGATATAGTCCTCTTCTACAGAAGCAGTATTGCTTTTCAGTGGCAGCAGAATGAAGGGCCAAGATGTGTGCAGTATAATGATTATGAAGATCACTTTTTCTGTCCTCAGTATTCATTGGTGGGAGTATAAATTTAGTATGAAAATGCTTGTCAAAATCTTACACAGGAACAGGTTTCTGTGAATGCTTCCAGAAGACTGTGCAAACCTGCTTCAGATTACCTTGTAAAATCTCTTAGGGACTGTATTATCTGTGTGCATAAGTTCAGTGCTGTGTTCATTTATTTAAAAAGCAATAGCAAATAGCTATGTGCCAATATATGGCAAAGGCACCAAGTTCATACACATTAAATTCCACGCATTTGCATGTATAGATTAAGTAGAAGGCAATATTTCTATATACTTTGTATCTATACATTTATCTGTGTATCATTTCTCAGGGAAAAGAATGCAAGACCAGAACTTATTACTGTAGCAAATGCATTGATATACCTATAACTTCCTTTATACTAGTAATTTAAACTTGGAGCTTTGATACGGCTGTAAGAAAAAAAAAACAAACCACAAATCAGATGCTCAGACAGCAGTGTCTGAGAACAAGCATACCATTAGCATGCTTCAATTCAAATACAGCTGGTAGGCTATTAGATTTGATTATCTAATGTTTCTATTGATTAAGGTCTCCCCAGTGACAAGATTGAAATGGGAAGGAGTTGCAAAATAGTCACTGAGGTGGTGCAGAATGGAAATGACTTCACCTGGACACAGCATTTCCCAGGAGGCCGCACCACAACCAACACATTCACAATTGGCAAGGAAGCAGACATGGAGACAATGGGTGGTAAAAAGTTCAAGGTAAATTAATTTAGCTCTTAAGTTCTATGCTGTCTCAATTGTTTTTTAATTTAGGGTGAAAAATCAAATCTGTCTCAAGGACATCTTCCTTAAATTGTTTTTTTTTTATCTGTCATAGCTTAGAAACATATCATTTTTTTCCCCCATTTCTCGATGCCCCTAGCAAAATACCTAAATCTGTTTTTAAAGAGATCTTCAAACTGTACATACTAACAAAGAATGAGGGTAGAGTGTCAAGCATCTACTGGTGTCACAGCTCAAACAAACATAATGCTCATTAAAACTCTAAAGAGCTGATTGGCACCTGTGTCATTGTCCAGCACCATACAGCAACTGCAGCACTCTCTAAGGGGAGTGCTATGGTCCCTAGCTCTGCCCATGCTTGTTGGCAGGGCTCACCTTTTGAAGTCACCTGTGCCCGAGCCTTAAACAAAAGGCTGTGTAAAGTGAAGGAAAAAAAAAATAGTATCTCTCTATCCTCCTTCTTGTTGGAAGTGTAGAGCAACTTGCAGCTTAAGCAGCCTCTAGCGAGAAGGAAGATTGCACAATATTGATCTGCTCCTGTCATGGACAAAATCTTGATACAAAACCTGCTGTAAAATGGTTGCTTTACTTAGCTTATTCATTTCTCATCTATTTAAAGGGATAAGACACTTTAGGACAGCTAAACTCTGCATTTGTGAGGTGCCTGGAACCCTACAATAGATTACTGGATAAATGCTTTATACATATTGAAGAGACAGGAAAACCAGCAATTGCATCAGGGAGCTCTGACAAACTGAGAATAGCAATAGCATTGCATGATTTCCAGAATGCTTTTTTAGTCATACCTTTCTGATTATGAGAGGAAAAAAACCCACGTCTTTGGCTTTGAGAAATCTTTGTGAAACCTGACAGAGAGAATAAGACACAATTCTACCTGGTCAATTTATTGCAAACTTAACAATTTTGAAATATTACAAATTCCATTGTCTGCTTTTTGGCCCTGGGCACTTCAGCTTTCCAAAGCCAGTATTAAGTAGCCAAAGATGGAGGGAGAGTAAATGACTCAGCAGAGAAACCACCGCCTTTTAGTATAGTGTCACTAAACAATGCATAAACTAGTAAGATGGTTTCCTTCTGTCTGGTAAAAAATGTCCACTCATCTCTTCATTCTGCAGATTACTTTTTTCTCTAAATGTGACTGGCTCATCTGTCTTTATTACTAGAAGCATAGGCAAGACTGACTAGTTATACAGACAAGACTGATTTTGTGATGCAACTACATATCTAGTTTTGGCAGTCAGCTGTAGTATTTGTGATCTTCATGGTAGCACCCTGGCATACTACTTCCATACAGAAGCAGCTCTTCTAGCAATTGGCACATATTATAGTATAAAGGTATGACTGCAGACTGTGCGGTCATGCTGACCTATACTTAAATGAGTGAGATGAATTCTAGTCTAGTTAGAGGTATGAAACTCAGGATCTAGGGTAAAGATTCACATCACTAGTCCGCAGTGACTTTTGTGCTGCTTGGAGGCAGGTTATTAGTATTTGAGAATGCTACTTCAAAATTAACTCATACAATCATGCTTTTTACTTTGCTGTCAAAACAAGAGAATCACATAAAACACTGAAGACTTAATAAGAAGCATAGTCAATAGTCAGATCATTTTTACTGCTATGAAGGAATATTGTCTGATTTATTCTGTAGATATGGAACTTGCATGTATTGTTAGGCGAACATTTTTCTATTTAAATTGTGAACATTTAAGAACTAAAGCACAAGGATTTTAGTCTTGTTCATGAAGCTGCATGTGTAATGCACAACTTCTACTGTTTTAAAAGTAAAAAATTTAAGCATCAGGTGTACAGATGTTTACAGTGTATCTGATAATATAAATGTCAGTAACCCCAGGGAACATTAAATCTTTCTCTATTACTTATTAAACAGGCAACTGTTAAAATGGAAGATGGAAAATTAGTAGCTGATTTTCCAGACTACCGTCACACTTCAGAGATTTGCGGAGGAAAGCTAGTAGAGGTGAGTTCTCAAATACCCAGATTAGTTTATTTAAAAAAACAAAACAAAACAATACAAACCCCCAAAAAACCCCAAACCAAACTTCTGGAGCAGCAGGCTTAAAATTTTGAGTTTAGAAAAAAATCTTTATCTAAAGTAAAGCAAAACTATTAAATAACTTTCTCCTTCACCCTAGATAATATTCTACAATTTTGTGCAGGTTTAATCCAAAAAATTCAATGAACAAACTTCTCATCATATATTTTTGGTAAATTTGAAATGTAGATCTTGCATCTTAGGCACAGACACACAGTTTTATAGCTGTAAGACTGGAATGTTCAGACTGAAATATTCCCAACTTGCCATGTCTTTGACTGTATTCACTGTGCCTATGCCTCAGGAACAGAAAATAATATATATAAAACTTTTTACCTACTACTTACCTGTTTCTATAAAGTTATGAACTCTGTTTCATTCTTTGAAAGCTATCTAGCAGCAAGTCCTCACAGAATTTCTGTAGAACCCTATTTCCTTAGTCTTACCAAAGGGGACACCCCCCCTCCCCGCCCCCCCCAAAAAAAAAACCAACCCCACAACAAAACACAAAAGAGGCTGGATTTCAAGTAGTATGCTGTTTTATCAACAAAATGGCAATATAGCTTTGGAAGATTACTGAAACTACAACACTTACAGTAATACTTGTAAAACAAATAGGATTGTCAAACATCATTATTTCTGAGTCTCAAAAATTTGCCTGAACTGATTCTTGTCTGTGCCAGTTATGTATGTCTGAGGGCATCTTCAGCAGAGACTAACCAGAAGTTAGTCTGAATCAAGAAAGGACACTCACCCTCCCTGAAAGTAATAGTGTCAATCATTTATTGCTTTTGGAGAACAATTATCTCACTTGTCTAAAACTCTGATAACTTGGAGTTGGTAAAGCCATGTCTAACGCAGGATACATGTAAGTTATCCCTAAACCCCTGTTTAGAAGTTGTGCTTGTTGTGTAAGTATTTCTGTGCTGTGTATTTCAGAGTTGACAAGGATGTTCAGCTTATTTTCTAGATAAGTCTTCTACCAAAGAGTAAATGTTGCTTCAGTAAAGGACAGGTTCTGTGAGCCAGTCAGCAGGTCTTTTTATTTGTGACACTGAAGCTCTAATTACACTGTTCAACCAAATTTTTTGTTCTTTTTTCCAGATTTCTACTGCTTCTGGTGTAGTCTACAAAAGGACCAGCAAAAGGATTGCTTAAGGCAGTAAAGCCAGTCTCTTCCAGTGCACTGAAAAACAAACAATACAAATAAAATAGAGTACTGATTGTCTTTCCTTCTCTCTTTCTTTGTAATACAAACATGAATTGTTTTTCAGAGTAATGTTATCCTCAATATTAATGCTTACCCCATTCCTAAAGATCTGACAAATATTCCAAAAATTGGAATGCAAAAATCAGATGATGCAACAAAGCACTTAATGATGCTGCTCCAGTCTAAGTATTTTAGGATATAATACTTGACATATTCAATTGTTGCCTACCACCTACTTAATAGAAGCTCTGTTCAGTTTCTATCTGGAGAATAGGACAATACTCTGACCAAAATGTTCATCAGAATGCAAGACCTGATTAAAGTCTTTTGCCCTATTGCTGGTTGGAGGGCAGAAATTCAGGCGCTTGAAAACAAGAGAAAGTCAGTTTATCACTCATGGAAAGATATGTTTTCATGCTGCTGTCATGGTTTTCTCATTCTCATCAGTATCTTCTCTCGACCCAGACTGTTAGAGGACATTTAAAGTTTTACAGACAGACTCCTGCAGGAAAACCTGGGAGTGTCTTATTTTCTCAATGCAATCCTGTTATTTACATAGAGTGCATTTGAAAACCTGTTTTCTTGAACACAGTAGGAAATATAACACAGTTTTTGGCTTCACTGTTCCAAATCACTTCTGGCCAATACCCAGGCCACAAAGCTTTTCCTTTTTCAGACTCCTTTTTCCAGCTGTCTGGCCTTCTACATCCACCTAGCTGCTTGCCCTCACAAGCTAATCAGTAACTAGCCAGGGCATGTGTCTTGTGCACACAAAAGATCACTTTCTGATAGGCCTGTGTACATAGAATCACTTAGGTTGGAAAAGACCTTTAAGATCATCCAGTCCAACCATTAACTTGTTGAACCTCATACAATTCGCCTCAGCCCATCAATCCAGCCTGTCCAGGTCCCTCTGCAGGGCCATCCTACCCTCCAGCAGATCGACACTCCCACCCAGTTTGGTGTCATCTGCAAACTTACTGAGGGTGCACTCAATCCCCTCATCCAGATCGTTGATAAAGATACTAATCAAGACTGGCCCCAAAACTGAGCTCTGGGGAACACCACTTGTGACTGGTCACCAACTGGATTTAACTCTAGTCACCACTACTCTCTGGGCTTGGCCACCCAGCCAGTTTTTTACTCAGCAGAGCATGCCCATCCAAGCCATGAGCTGCCAGCTTCCTTAGGAGAATGCTGTAGGAGATGGTGTCAAAGGCTTTGCTGAAGTCCAGGTAGATGACATCCACAGCCTTTCCTTCATCCACCAGGTGGGTCACCAGGTCATAGAAGGAGATCAGGTTGGTCAAGCAGGACCTGCCTTTCATGAACCCAAACATGACTGATAATCCCAATCATTTCACATATCTTGCATTAAAAAAAGGCTTTTAATTATTTTTTTATGTTTTTCCTCAATAGAGATTACTAAGCTTTCCAGCTGCAACAACAGGCTCCAGCCGTTTAACCCAAAACAGACTGCATGTGTCATGACCAGAAATTACGCTGTATATTACTGTGTTTCCAAAGCAAAGTATAATGCTGAACTCTTAATTAGAGAAATGAGTCAAATCTGAAACCTGTTCAATCTTGAGATATTATTTTGGTACTTGCAAGAAACAGATCTACCACTTTAACAGAATTTTACTGAAATTCAGCCTCTTCAGTTATACACAGTCATATTGAGAATAAGGGATCTCTTCAGGCTTACTACTCAGTTCAAGTCAGCTAGTACATTGCTCTGCAAATAATAATGTGCCATCTTAGAGTGGAGTGAGAATGTGCCCATCATCTTCAACATTTAACCAACTACGCAGAATGACCTGTAGAATTAGGCACAAGTAAACACTGGTGAAGTGTTACATGAAACTAAAGCTCATACTAGAACCAAGGGATGGTGGTGGTTTGTCTGAGCCTTTCACACCCCCAAGAACCTGCTCTGAAGATGATGCTGATACCTGGTGACTCCCTGCTTTGAAAACAAAGTGGAACCAGCCACCACTAATTCCAGTTCTAGAACCAACTACATTTAGTGTTGTGCAACTGGCACACTTTGTTTTCCCATTCTGCACATGATCAAGTAACTCCCCATTATATAGACAACAATGCTTTGAAAGGAAGGGTGGGATTTTTTTCTAGGCTCTCTAGAAAGCAGGTAAGAGGTGCTTCCACATAGGAAAAAAGCATTCCT